GATTACACAAAGCACTTTCATCAGGAATCCTTCTAAGATGCAAATATGTTTAGAATAAGTATTAGGTAAAAGAAAAGTTTGATTAATGGAACCTGTCCTTTATAGTTCTCTTGCAATGTGGAAGGCTCTGTGTTGTGCTGTGTGTGCGCACATTTCAGCAGTAGCATAAGCATGCTGGCAAAAGCCACTGCCAAGTCTCATTAATTGCAACTCCCGCAGACTTCTTCAGCCATGGAACTTTTATTCGTGGTGTAGTTTTACATTAATTTGGGACTTCAGTTTCCTTTAAATTTCAAACTGCATAGAGCAAAGTGTATCCTGTTTAAAGAAAGGCAAAAACAGAAGAAGGGTAGATCTTAGGAGGGAAGCAAGATGATCTGCCCCTTCAGTTCATTAGGATTACTATATGGTCTCCTTTTTGTTGACAAGTGCAGTCCAAACCCCCCAATAAGTGAGAAATTTCTTATCCATCATACTGTTTCAGCCAATGCTGTGTAATTGCCCAGTATCATAGGCATAAACAGCAGGAGGGCAAAGGAGTTCAGTCAAGACCCCCCAGTGTTTGTGTTTGGTATGAAACACTCCATACGAAAATAATGATTTTGGCTCCTTGAGCCTCACTCCAGTAGTATTTTCAAAAACTTTGCCAGTTGCTGTTGTACTTTGTTCTTCAAGACTACACTGTAGAAAATGCAGCTTCACTAAAGAGTGGCCAAAGGTTAGACATTTGTGGGGAAATAAAGGAATTTTTTATATATATCAAAGACTTGTGCAAATACATGAATTTATTTTAGATAATGTTTGGTGTGTTTCTAACAGGGCTGAGCTGTCGACCACTTCTAAAATTGCCAGGATTCTGCCTGGCTTTAAGTTTTGCTACCATTCTCTGAATAACAGTGGCTGCTGAAGACGTTTGTTGAAAGTCACTAATGTTAATTTTACACATGAAAAAAGAATCCAATCAAGCACTTCTGCAGATTCTTACCATTAAGTTAATATTATGGGCTTTTAATGGATGTTTTAATTAAGCTTTCCTATTAATCGAAAGATTTCTCAAATTAAGACTAGTTCCTTTTGCACTTTTAAATTAAAACTTGGAAATATTAACCAGTGACAGGCAAGTCATAAATGCAGGCAAGAAAAAGCTTTGCTTTTTATGTTGGTGTCAGCTGGAGATGAGCTATTCTGGTGGCAGGACATTCTCCAAGCACACTGGGGAGACAAAACATGGTAGGAAAAAAACGTATTTATTTATCGTTCCATCTGTGATGTATGTATACTGTATACCAAATCAGCAGACTCCTAGGAATTTTAGTATCCTGAAAGTGGACACCAAAGTGCCTTTAATTAAGATACTTCTCTGAATATATTTTGCTTACTATTCATCCTTAAACTATTAAGATATGGTAAAATGGAACTGATGGACATCAAAATACTGCAAAAGATCCATCATTTCTCAGCCCAGTGACGTAAATTCTTATTTTATGCATGAGAAAAGCAAGACAAAGTTTTTTTCAGTATGTTATCTACAGGTTTGAGAACAGAATTAGACTGAGTCCCCTGAACTAACTGCTAAAAACACATACTTTCTAAGAAAACCAAAGGCAGACACAATTCAAACATGCAGGAGAAAGAAAGGGGTGACTGAAGCTATGAAGTGACTGAACTTTCAAGTCCTCAAATTGTGGCTCAGATTATTGTCAAACGCAGCTGTACAAAGGCATGTTGAAAGGGTTTTGGGAAGGTTTGGGGTGGCAGTCTGCATTTATCAGTTCTTAGGTCTGCGCTTAAGTTTTATATGTGTATATCATGCATATTTTATATCGTAGATAAATATCACAAATATCTTTTATATGTAAGGAAGATATATAAATACAAAAGATTGGATATTGCTGAGGTTAGGAAATAAGAACTGCTATCTGAGGTCAGCCCAATGGCCTCTGTAGGTAGATGTCCTGTTTTAAACAGTGGTTGCTATTCTGATGATCCAGCAAGTGTTATCCCAGTTAATGGAAAAATTAAGTAATTACACAATGATGCAAAACATTTTTCTAACCCCATGAAGACATTTCCTGCCCTCCATTTTAGAGCATGTGCATTGATACCCTATGTGTACGTTTGTCTTGTTGAAAGTTGCTTAAGTTTTGAGAACAGAAAATAACTCCAAAGATCTTGAGCTGAATTCATCCCACATGTAACTTTATTAGGAAAAATCTTTTCAAGAGATTAATACCACCTTTACATATTCAAGAGGGGACTTGTACAGGCGTATGCCCTTCTACAGACTTCTATGCAATTTTATCTGAAATCTTTTCAGCTTCAGTATGGAAAACTTCACATTTTACAGAGCACCTCTGAGAGCCCCCTCTTGGGTAGACTCCTTAGCAAATGCAGGTTTTGGGTAAGAGGCAGAGGGCAAGGAACTCACAAAGTTAAATCCCTGTCCTGGCACACAGAAGAGGTCAACGGTGACTTGGGTCATCCTGGGTGCTCTTTGTGTGCAGAGTGTTGGGTCTTCCCCTTCAGAGGGCTTCACCACTGTTGTGTTTCCAGAAGGGAAGATGTTACAGTCCTTCTGTTCAAGCTGCAGCAGGCTAGGTGTAGTTTTACTGAAGCCAGAAAACTTTGGTCTGAAACTGTACATTTTTGTCTTTTGAGGTATGGCTCATTAAAAGAGCTGAATATTATTTTCTTTCTTCTAATGGGCTCAGTAGCTTTGTAAAATAGGGTCATTACCACACAAGAGGTCAAGCTTTTTCCCCCTGTTGATCTTTTTTGATCTTGGAAAAGGTCAGAATAATAAAGGTCTTACTGGGGATAGAAGTCTTAAGAGAAGTTCTTTAATGGCAATTTTTAACGTATCTTCCCCTTTTCTTTCCCCCATCACTGTTGTACAGCTTAAGCATGGAGAAGAATAGCTTTAGTTAGGTTTGGGTTTTTTATATAGTCATACTTGGGAGTAGACCTGAAAGCTAAATCTTTGTTTTCTGCTGGCTATGTATTTCTTCCAAGGTCCCAGCTCAAGTGAGTGATACCCCTGTGGCTGTAAAACCTTAAGGGGGACCCCTGCATACACTCAGAAACACAATTGCTCATTCCTTTATACAGCAGATTACTTTTAGACTTACTTCGATGTGATCTGTACAGATTCCCTTCATCTAAGGGGAGGTCTGATTCTCTTAGCTGACTTACACAGCCACACACCAAGAGAGCCTTATTTTGTGGAAGCCAAATCTTATTAATGGCAATCTGCTGCCCATCTTTTAATTAGCCAGAGAAGCGGTGACATTTCACAACCACAACAGTGGCAATAATGTAGCATTGTAATATAAAATAAGGTGAAGTGTCCACCAGGATTGAAAGCCTCCATTTATCCACATTAGTATACAGACTGGATTCTCACTTTATAGGGGGAATTGATGTATCTATTTTTGTTATGTCACAAATGCAGAAAAAGCTAACATTTTTAACTTCTGAAATGTCTTCAGAGTTGGCTTACTTGGAGATTTGGAAATGGTACAGATTTCAAACGACGTGTGAAACCTTATTCTGCAGTCTGAATTCCTTGGGTATGATGTAAATACTAACTGATCCTTTAATGAAGCCACAAACCTTAACATGATTTATCAAAATATTTCCAATATTTAAAGTTTAAAGCTACTACATTTTTTTGACAGAATTTTCAGGCCCTTACACTGTGGGTATGCATGGCTTCATATTAACTTAATTACAAACTTTGTGACATCTTCTTTCTATCTTTGAGTTGATTTTATCAGGAAAACTTTTATTATTTAGATTGTATGCTGCTTGGTATAAGGACTTCTCTCCCTTGTGGTTTATGCAGTCCTGTGTTCTATAACAATTCATACACAATTTGTGCTGCAATAATTTTCCACTTATTTTTCTTTGTTTTATAAAATACATTTTATGCTGCAGTTTCAGTGTATGTCTTTGTGATTCAGTAAACTTAGTTCAGAATCGATACTTACATTTCCTTCCCCATCTTAGTAAAGGACATATGAAATGCATGAGACAAAGTAAGCTCTTTCTAAAGATATGGATTGAAATTGAAGCTACACTTAGAAATGTGAAAAACTGAATGAAGAGTTTTGAGTTTGGGATGTGTGATACAGAGGCAAAATACTGAGTACTGTCAAAAGAGTATCAAAGCACTGTGGGAGCAGCACTAACCAGTGCCACTGCCCTACGTTTTCAGTTTACAAACTGAAATAACTGTTTATTTTGTGTACCGTTAACTCTAAAAGTCTTTTATTGTGAGCAGCAGAGAACAAAATTTACTTAGAAACAGGAGACATTTAAGTCAGTGGCAAGTGCTCTTATTCCAAGATGGGAAACAGGAACTGCAGGAGAAACGCTACCCTGTTTTGCAGGTGTTTTCCATGAACCATAAATTATGAACAAACATACCATTAATGGTACTGAGAGCTCTAAGGCCACAATATATGCTCAGCTAACAGAATCTGAACTGAGTCTTGGAGGTATTATGGTGATTTATATTACTGCTATCATGCTTCACCTGTGCTCACAGTACAGATAGGATAGCTACTCTTCCTGAATTTTTGACTCACCGTACAATGCAACAATGAAGATAGATATTTGGTTTGGAAAACTGTAAGGGAAATTTGTGGAATGAAGACATGCATGTCTTTAGAAGGTGTCATATGGTAAAACTTCTGATTCTTTCCAGCTTAGCATCTATAGTAAGTATTCACAAAATGGTTATGACAGATACACTGGGATACAACTCCATAATGGACATTTTACATCATCCTTTTGAACTTTACTTTGTTTTGTACCTAATAAAAAAAATAAGATATTAGATGGCAAAAATACACATTACAAAATAATAGAAGTGTCACGAGACAAAAGCATGTTCTAAAAGCTGTGCATTTTGTGTTCACAGTTTGACAGCTGTGGCTCTTATTGGCTGTGTGACTGCACTCAGCTTGTAAGGAAATCATATTTTATTTCTGTTACAGGAATTAAAAGGAAACTGGGGCTACTAGAAATGTTGTGTATGCATAAGCTATAAAGGCTGGCTTGTACAGAAGAGAAACTTTTTGAAGAGGGAACTAAAGCACAGTTCTGTGGACATGACGAAGATGATTGCTGAGCTGAAGACATGCATGCTGGTATAAATCAAGGTTTTTCTGCAGTCACCAGAGTTAGTGTTGTTCCATTAAAAGTACCCCAATACATCAGTCCTCATCTTTAATTGAATGCTGTAGATTATGACAACTAAGTCATTGAAGCAATTGCTTTTCTAGCTTTTGACCATATCAAAATCTTTCTAGTCTCAAGTCAAATACACACAGGCAACTATTAATTTTGCCTCTGTCAAGCCCTCGCCAATATAATCAAAGAAGCCAGGCCATAGCTTCAAACAGAGGTTAGTTAGAATAATTCCTTAAAACTACCATCATAACATCTGTTCTTTTTTTCTGTAAAGTTCAGGCCTAAACAGGCATGTTCTCATAAAATTTATCAGCTATGTGTTAAGTCACAGAGAATGGTAGTTTGCAGCCAAAATGGGGTATTTCCCCATGCACGCACTTCTTTTCCATGTCCTACATGCTGTGGTGTGGTATCGTCTTCCAGCATTACCTCTGATCGACAGGATTAGGGGAAATCCTTGTTTCTTTGGTGATTTTCAAACACTATCAGACAATGATGCCAACTAAGAGTGAATTAATGAGATATTGGAGCCTGGCAAGTAGAAAGTGGCTTTAAATAACCCTGATTAGCCTTTTCTCAGTTCCTTAGAGTGCAGGCAAGGCTTGAACAACAACAAAGACCCCACACTCACACTTTTTATTAGTTTGGTGGAAAAAGAGTGTGCTTTTCAGAGGGTGTTAATTAAAAGATTTAGGCTCCATTCACACTGCCCATATCCCTTGTTTCATCTTTCCCTCCTTTTTGTGTAGTTTGTTTGCAATGTGAGAGGTAGAACTGCTGTTATGACAGATAATGTTGACTTTTAAAGAGTTTGCTCAGATCTGTGAGAAAAATATAATCCCTAATTGAACATATGAGTTCCACTTTTTACATGATGGCTTCATTAAACATGAACTTTTATTTTAAGTAATTTAAAATGTCTTTCACTCTTTCCAAAACAAGTTTTCACCTCTTTTCTGTCTTTCTCAAGGGATAGCTCCCCTACAACTTTGTAGCTGCTACATTTGCCTTTTCAATGAATAAATAAAACAAAAATCTTGAAACCCTTTAATCATAAAGTTGTGTTTCTATAAACCTTAAGCATATTAAAATCATTGCATCAGTTATATGTTCTAGTTCTACTTATACGAAATTCATACGGTGAAGACCATGGAATCAGCCAAGAAATTTTTCAGAATCTGAGAAATAGATAGAAAAGTATTTTAAGTAGCTAAAACTTGAGTAAATTATTAATCACAAAATCATGTAATCATGTGCTATATTTCAGGACTATTTTAATACAATATTTACATGTACACTTCTTTCCAAAGGAGACAGACTGATGTTTGCCTGATTAAGCCAAAAGCCTGCAGCTTACCAAAGGTACCCCAAACAAAAATATGAAACAGGAAACAATAGAAAACTCAGATTACTTTTCATGACAGTCAAATTATGAATATGAATTGTACCCAATAAAACCACAGAGAAAGGACTGAATGAAAGATAACTGAGATTTCACTGTAATTTCTGGCTAATAAATTTATTTCTTTTAAGGCTAGATTTTAGATATGTGTGAAGCATCTCTAATTCTACTGTGAAACTCATAGAACATTCACAGAACATGACTTGGTGCTGAGAAAAATCTTTGTGCTCACCTTTAAAGTGATATTATACAAAATGAGATGTAAAAAGCTGAATAAGACCTTGTTCCTTCTTGGGAATTGCATGTGCCACATTCAAGACTGCTCTGCTGCAGTGAAATGTGTAGTTCCTCTCTAATAGCTTTGAAATATTGTTCATAAAATTGTTTGATCTCACCTCTAGTATGGGAAGGAGAAGATACTGGTGGAGCATTTTGGAGGGAGAGAGGGAATCCTGTTTTTTTTATCAAAAGATAATAGTTAATTATATTGCTGCATGCTTTCACTGGCAAACATCTACAGCACACTTTAAAAAGGCAAAAAAAATGAACCAGGAGATTGCTGCTTGTTAATGGACTCTGCTATTTTACAGCACTGTAGTCAAGCAGCCACCTACAGTTCATCCTTATGTTAATACTAACGTTACCAATTTTAACATTATATGCCTCTTTCCACTGGCCCCTGTTGGTACCAACAGCCTACGGCAAGTGCTGTACTGCCTTTTACTTAATTGCTTCTTAAAGCTAACAGTGAATTACATTAAGTGTAATTTCATTGTCGTTGGATCTTGGTGAGTTTGAGGTGGCACGTTTGCCATGGGAGTTCTTTTTCTCTGGTTCAGTGGCTATATCCGGATGGGATGCATTTCTCCTGGAGTAATCCAGGAGAATCTTTCCTTTGAAGAGGAACAGATGTAGATTTACATATCTGGAGGTCTCTGGCCTCTGATGAGATTAGTTGGTGTTTTTAAACCCTACTGGAAGGTGCATATTTAATAAATGCCTAAAGCAAGCCTCTGTGAAATGGCTGGGCCCTGGGAGACTTTGAATGAGAGGAGAGGAGGAGATGTCAAGTTGCACATTGTGGTACCATCATAATCACTGCTGAAAGTAGGCCAACACTTGAAATAACATGAATTCCAATTCTGCTGTAAAAGTAATAAAGAAAAAATGGACTAGGTAACCTCCTTAAAAGCATTTAGGTTTTAATTTCAGCTGATAGGTTTGTTTCTAATTCCCTAAGAATCAGAGAGAGATGGAAATACACAGGTTTAAAAACTGGCAACCCTCCCTGCCCCTGCCAAATAATCCACGCTTTTCTAACATGCTTATTTGAGGTAACTGTATGCCCTGCAATAGAAATAGTATTTTTGTTTTACTGAATGTATTTTGAGATGGAGGGGAAGGGCTTGTGGTAAAACTAGAGATTAAATAAATTTCCATGGGAAAGACTAAGCTTTTTTGACAGCAGCCTGCATTTTCTTTTAATGGAAAATAAGTATGAAACAGAAGTTAAAAATTCTACATCAAATAGTTCTTTTGGTGTGATTTTCCTCTCGGTATAGCTACAGCATAAATGATATAATTGTAAAACTACAGAACACGTTCTTGTTACTGCTGTTTTGGAGCCAGATACCACAATGATTTTTGCATTGTACTCACAACACTTGAAATTGTGCAGGGGTTTGTAAATGCCTTATAATTGCATCCCCCTTCCTCCCCTTTCACCCCCTTTTGGTTTGTCGTGAGATTTTTGTTTTTCCTTAGCAGCTCACCATTTGTGTCATACTCTGCTGCCTGTCTGTCGCAGCTCATGTTGCACAGCAGGTTGTACAATACCTGATCCCCAGCCACCTTCATCTCCTATAGCATTCCTTCTCTGCTTACCCTAGCACTGACAGCATCGCTCTTTCACGCTGTATGTGACTACACCCTGTCAGGCAGCTCTCTTTTCCCACACTGGGCCCCGCTGTCGCTCCTGTCCTGCTAGTGCCCACATTAGTTTGCTGCTGCCACAGACACCATCCTTAATGCGCCTGCTTGTTGCTCCTGTCCCCACCATCAGGCAGAGATTTAGATGCTGTCCTCTGCTATATACATCTGTCCGTCACCTCACTATTGCCACTAATGTGTCAGTGTAGATGAAAATTTCTTGGGCTTGGGGTGTTGTATTACTTAAGAAGGCCTGGTAAAACCTAGGTGCTGTACTTGCAGGGGCAGCACCTCCTCAGAGCTGCACACAGGTCTCAACCAAAGCCTGCAAGGGACAGTGTTAATCCCTCCTGTGAAAGGGCAAAAAGCTAAAAGAATACAGGAATCTGCTGAGATTAACAGAGAAACAAACAGAGAGCAGTGTAACAAAAGAAGGTGCTCAGATCTGTAGATAAGGAGCTTTCAGAGGCCTATGAGCAAGGACCCTGTTTAACTCCCTGTGGAGCACCAAAGGCTCCGCAAGGATCAGGGATGGAGCAGCAGGAGAAATGAAACAGCAAGAGTTAAGACCACTGTTCCCTAACTGAGCTGCATTTTTCAATTCTAGCTGAATTTTATTATGCGGTTAGAACTAGTTCCTGTTCTGGACCTATTTTAATTTCGTTCTGGAAAAGCTACCATCTACTATGCAGACATACTATTACTTTCCAGCATCTAGTGATAATTGCCCAGATGGGTACAAAATAATGTTTTATTGTTACTTTTATTTGGTTAAAGTTAGGCGAGGGACTGCTTGCCATCAGGCTCAGAGCAGGAAAGCACTTTATAGGGTTTGGAAGTGGCGTCTTTGCCAGTGATGATAAAAGCAACATAAAACTGCTTTCGGAGGAAATTTACTCATTGGTTGAGGCTCAGCACAAGGCCTATATATCACTTATGTCCTTTTAAGCTTTGTTTTTGAGGCCTAAATGAGACTGATAGTGCACTGGTGTCAACTTCATGCAAAGGAAAATATTCTTCTGGGGGTTCAGTCTTTGGCTATTTTTCAGGCAAAACTCACAATTGTTTTCAATGGGCAAATACCACAAAGGCCCTATTTTGAGTTCTCTCTCATTAGATTGCAAAACTGTTTCAATTATATCCTATGGATTTCATAGGCATGGAATTTTCTGAACACCCACATCGAGGTTTGGGTCTCTGTTTTGCTAACATACCAGCAAACAAAACCCCACAGGACCACATAGCACAGCTACAAAATAAATATTATTCTAAGAAATAGTCAAAATTTATCAGCCCTGACCACATGGTCACATCTGTATTTAGTGCACCTTTCCCTGTCCTCACAGTGAAGACACCTAAGGAAGGCTCAGTTAGTAACTGATTGTTGACTTCACCTTTTTTCTAAACTTTCTTATTATGGACATCTTGCCAGGCAGGAAAAAAAAAAAAAACACCTAACAACAAAAAAACTATGAGATAAAAGCAATTATAAAGTTAAAGCAAGTAGAATAAATTAAAAAAGCCTCTGCTATCAGCGTGGTGATACTAGATTGCCAGCTCTATAGAAAACCAGCATGAATAAATACCGAATATAACCAGTGCCATCGATAGTACTTGTCAAATGGACTATTCAGCAGTAGGAGCACAGGGTGGTAAAACACCCCTGTAGTATGTGGTCTCAACTACAGACGTTCAAATAATTTGCTGAAGTACTGCTTAAGTACTTCAAAGAACCTTTAATTATTCCTGCACTGGTAAAAAAGTGTGATACAGATAATCCCATATCATTCCCTCTTCAGTATTGCTAAAAACAACTTGATGGACAGGATGTTCTTCCTTTGCACTGTCAGAAGAGAAGTGTTATTTTTACCTCATTATTTCAGGGAAGTATAATTTTTCCGGATTTATTATCCTTTCCCTATTTATT